TAAGAGGTCAAACTCTGTCAACTAATTTTTCATTTTTTTTTCAAAAGGAAGAGTAAAAACTGGAGGTGACAACAAAGTTGTTTTCAAAGGTTTCAGGGAGGTAAGAATCAACTGAGTTAAAGTAAAATCATCTTCAAAAGACTTCATCTCAAAGTATTTCACAAAGTATATCTAACAACGATTAAAGAAGTATTTATAAAACATTATAAACTTAGAGTATTCATAAGCACATTTTCTATTTCAAAGGCACTTTTGCTGTCACAATGAAAGGGCAGGCTCTGGAAGTGTTTGTATGCTGATTCAGTAAGTATTTAACATACAGAACAGAAGAAAACAAACTAAATCCCCGTCACCAAGTTAATTCAGACTCACGGTGACCCTTCATCAAGTTTTCAAGGCTATAAGTAAATCTTAGCACAGCAGACCATCTTTCTCCCTCAGAGAAGCTGGTATATTCAACCTGCTACTTTCTCTAATATGGCAACTGCTGTGGTTACGTACCATCAAGTCAGAACTGACTCATAGCTGACCCTCCAGTGTGTTTTCAGGAGATATATATCACATGGGAAGAGACTTTCAATCCCTCTTGTGAATATGTCAGCAAGGCTCTTTATACACAGAATAAACCAAACCACATAACCAAACCCACTTGTAACTTGTCAGTGGCAACTCGTAGCAACTTTCCATTGGATTTCTGAAGATGCAGATTTTTAAGGGAAGAAACTACTTGAGCAGCTGGAAGATAGGAATAGTCAGCAGTCTGACAAACCATGAACTACACCACCAGAACTCCTCATATACAAAACAGAGATCCACAATTTAACAAAGAACATTTATTTGTCCATACATTCAATGTAATTAACACTTTCTGTTATTTAGGCAGGGAATTCTGGTAGCATAATCCACATGGAGTTGTGCTGCCAACCGAAGAGGAGACAACTGTCTAGTGATTCCAAGTCACCAGTGATTCCATAGAAGAAAGATATGCAATCCTCCTATACAATTTACAGTCTCCAAAACATGCCACAATGCCAGCTGGGAGTTGGCTCTAACTTGATAGCAATGAGTTGATACCTACAACATATTTTAGGTAAAGGAGTTCTGGTGGTGATAATAAGTTGCTAGCTAATCAAAGGTCTGCAGTTCAAACCCACCAGCTGTGCAGCTGTGCTGTAAAGAAGCATGGACTGTCTCCAGTGTTAGGGAAGTTTACAAACAACCTTAGAAACACACTGGATGAAAGCATCAACTTGGTTTCAGTGGGCCTGGGTTATATTTTAGGCACTGTTCTGGCAGTAACTATCTGGATAGGCAATAAGCTAAACAGGTCAACTGAGTACCTGATTTTATGCATTGCAGAATGCAAAGGATGCCCTAACAAATCAAACAAGCTTAAAAACAAAATTAGAACATCATGCTTGGAAAGGTGGAGTGACGATGATGGAGAGGAAGACCCTCAACCTCATAGATGCACAGTGATCGTGGCAAAGAGCTCACGTGTGCCAGAGATTGTGAGGCTTGCACAGGAGAGGACACGTTTCAGATTTGTTGTTCACAGGGTTGCTATGAGTTGTGCTCAACTTGCTGGTACCTAACAACAACCACCACCACCTTGTGTTAGATTAAATTAATAATGGAATATCTCTTAAAAAGAAAACAATTTACTTATTTTAATAGTTAAAGCAATATTTAAGATCACTATCCATTAAATCTAGGGAGCACGGAGGGCCTATTGGTACAAAAATGGTTTAAATCCCAAAGGCATGCAGTACAAAACCACAGCTGCTCTCTGAGAGAGGGTGGGTAATCTCCTGTTCAATTAATTGCCCTGAAAAAACCTACTGGAGGGTCAGCTGTGTTGGTTACAATCCACAAAATCTGTAAGTATGTTATAGGTTTGGGTCATTCTTAAGGAAACGAAACACTGGCACAGTTGTTAGGAGTACTCACTAAATTGCAACTGCATAAATATGTCTGAGAACTGTGTGATCCAAATTCTGTTGTTTGTTGTTATGTGCCGTCGAGTCACCTGGAATTCATAGTGACCCATGTACAACAGCCCTAAACCCTGCTCTACCCTGTGCCAATCTCACCGTCTCAGACACACCAACCCCTGTTACCCCAGTCACTGAATCAATTTACCTCTTAGAGAGTCTTCCTCTCCTGCACTGTGCCTCCACCCTCCCAAGCATGATGTCCCTCTCCAAGAACTGGTCCCTCCTTGCAACATGTCCAAACTATGTTAGACAAAGCTTCAGAATGCTTCTCTCCAAGGAGAAGCCTGGTTGAACCTGTTTGTTTTCTTAGCAGTTCATGGTATATTCAATACTCTTCAACACCACAGCTCAAAGGCATCAATTCTCCTTCTATCCTCCCCAGTCTTTGTCCAGCTCTCTGACACACAGCAAGTGACTGCAAAGACCGTGGGCTGTATCAGGCACACCTTAATCCAAATACTAGGTCAGTGAAATTTTTTAACTCACTCAAAAATTTAAAACTTACAGGAATTGGCAGCGCAATGTAAGATAACTTTTTCTTTATATAGATCCTTACTGTCATATGTCAATTTTGGGCAGATAATGAATTTTGGAAAGAAGCTGCTAATACCACAAAGGAGTCACAAGGTGGTTCAGAGAGGGAATAAAATTGCACACTAAATTAGAATTTATAGAATATTGTACAGTATAATTTTAAATAATGAGTCATCCAATAGCATAGCAGAGAAAAGAGTTCCTGATTCCAGGTCTCAGTAAGGAATACAATTATGCTACAATACTGAGCTCACCAGGAAACAGACACCAGCACATGAAGTGTTGGCCTCACTTCTTGGCTTTACTCTTTTCAATTTCCCTTGGATAATTTTTTTAATCCCAAAATTGAATCTGCAATTTGGGTGTCAATGACTCCTAGATATCTATATTCTAATACTTCCTGCCTCTCAAATTTGGTAGTTTATTCTATCCCCAAACATTCTCTTCATCCAACTGTAGGTTTTTTGAAGGGGGAAAACAAAGTATTTATATATTTTCCGCTATAGGCCCAGTGACCAAGCTGGTACATTAAATAATTCAAGGCCTTTCTTGAAAGACATGATTCATATTCCATTGGAAACTTCCACTCACCTATCTGGTAAGCCTCTATTTGTCTCAAGATTAAAGATTAAATTCAAGCTTCTCTTTGGTGAATCCTTTCCTAAACCCTTCATTATATTCACTGTGACTCATCAAAAGCTATTTAAATTGTAAAATATATAACTAACAAGACTTGCTCCCAAAATTATGATTATTTTTATTAAAAGAGAGAAATCTATTTCAATATATAGCAAAAAAAGAAAAAAGACAATTCTAATACATTTAAAAGTTCTTTCTCATATTTTATTCTCAAAGGCTATTTAACAAATATCTTTACTCTGATTTAGAATTCGGCTTTACCAATTAGCTTTTCTTTATTTAACATCATTGCATTTCTGTGCATTTCTAATTAAGCCTAAAAATGGGCTCCTATGCTATTTGAATTTTATTTTTATGTTTAAGGATTAATTTTATCTGATAATAATAAATCAAGAGAGGCTAGAGATTTGTAAGTAAACTTTAATGTCTAATATCCAGGAGAATTCTTTTGAAAGGTTTTCTCTGGTATAACAAGTATATTCTTTGCCTTCAATACAAAAATCTAAAATAAAACATTAATTTCTGTTAGGTGTCTCATTCTAAAATTCAGACAACTTCTAATATCTACTTTTTTACATGAAAAGATGCCATAATTGGGCATCATAATTGTTTTTCAATCTCCATATGTAATCTATAGAACAATAGCTTTATTAACTGAACCTCACACAAGCATGAGAACAGAGCCATTATATAGTAAGACAAACTAACTCTTTTCTATCACTTCAGTTTAGTTGTGGATTACTTTTAAAGGTTTTCAACATACTGGAAAGAATTATTATATTAAAGAATTGAAGAGTATTGCTTTTTAAAAAAGTATGTATCTATGTTTATAATTATTAAAACATTATTAGTTTTCTAAATAATTTACTGTCCACTAATACTTTCCTGTATCAATATTTTATACTGATACTTTTAGTCTTTTTATTAATATAAAACAATTTTCCTAAGAAGTATGTAAATATTATTGAAAACAGGATCAAACAGATGCTACTGAGGCTAATATATAAACTAGATCTTACAAATTCCTCATGATTTAAATAAAACAACTATTTAGCTGAGTGAAACACCATATCCCCTCTTATTTTGTCAAAGCCTCTTTGAAGTTTCCTATACCTATTATGGATAAAATAATTATAATATTTTCTGTTAAAACATTAATGTTTTATATTATAACCATTAGCACTCTAACCTCTTCAACAAGACAAAAATCAATGACAACTCGAACAAAGTCGGCAACAGGACTCAAGTGTCTGCGGACACATCAAGTACGTGCATTTGTATTAGCGTGCTTACATATATCAACCAATACAAGTAGTCACAATTTCCTGTGACTCAACTTTAAATAATGCATAGATTTTTTTCTTGGAGCAGAGATATTTTTTATCTTATAAGTCACAATTTTAGTCTTATTAAAGTAAGATAACACAGCCCAAAAAAGTCCATAATGACAGAAAAAGAGGACAACAGGAAACTGCCATCTAAAGTTACTATTTCTTATCATATTAACCCTCCCACCATCTCTGTCCTCATCCTCACTCTTTTTCTCTAGCTAGCAATTCAAAAAAGACAGGCTTGCTATGTGTCATGTACTATATCCTGACAGTATCTTCTATCAATCTTAGGACAACAGTAACTGCTTTGAACCCAGGCTGTCACTCAAGATGGCACTGTCACTTTTGTTTCCTAGGATGATTCAGTGTCTTTTATCTTCTGCATACAGTCACAGTTCCCTACCAGGGGAAAGTGCAGAGCCACCAAGTATAAACCAACAGGTCTGTCTTTACGCACTGTGACATCGTTGCCTACACACAAATAATGAGTTCACTTTACCCGCAAGAAGGAGAGGTCCCGGTTGTGCTCGATGCTGGTGATCTCCAGGTTGCCCATGACTACCTCGCAGTTCTCATAGTATTTGCGCAAGGCTCGGTACTGCTGCTCCAGGTCAGAGAGAGAGCTCAGTTTGTTCTCTGTCCCTGCACATACTGCCAAGACAAGAAGATAGGTATGAAGTTAGCAACCTTTTAATTGCACACGCCACGACACTATTCCCCTCAAAGCACTCCACTCAACCCCAACTCCCTGAACTGAAGTAGTTTTCATTATATCAAGAGCCTCAGAAACACACACAGATTTTCACTTCAATGTTCCATATGTCAGTCAAATACATTCAAAAAAGAACATGTGAAGACCACAGAGAACAAGAAAGCTCTGGTTTGACAGAAACACACAGCAAGAATAATTTAAAAGAACCATACCTGCTGGGAGCATCTAAAACAAGTAAACAAATACAATTTATACATGATTTTTTAAGACTGATAATGACCCTGATCTCTAACAGAACATATATACAGATATAAATGAATCAAACTCAAAATATGAAACTAACAAAAGAATCAATTTGATAAAATATGTATAGTACCTGATGCATGCTTAGGACACTTGGTACCAGCAATCACTCTATCAGCAGACACACTTCACTGGGAAAGTCTGCAGTCTCCAAATTTTGAGGAGTAATGCCGTCAGTCTGAGGACTAAGGTGTACCTACTCAGGTCCTGGTGTTTTCAGTCACCTGTAATGTATCTAAGAGCTATACAATGACTAAGTGTGACAGAAGAACTGATGACTTTGAGTTACGGTGTTGGAGAAAAATACTGCCAAGTGAACAAACATGTATGTCTTAGAGAAGGTGTGGTCAGAGTGCTCCTTGGAGGCAAAGATGAAGAAGCTTCGACTTACATTCATAGGGCATTTTCAAGGAGAGGTAATACCTCAAAGCTAACATAATTTGTTATGATCTGCACAGTCAAATGCCTTTGTAGTTAATAAAGTACAAATAGACATTCTTGAATTACTCTTTGCTTTCAGCTAGTAACCATCTGAAATCAACTATGATATCCATGGTAACACAGCCTTTTTTAAAGCCAGCTTGAAATTCTGGAAAATCTCTATGGCCTGTTCTAGACCTTTTTGATTGATCTTTTGTATTATTTTTTTACATGTAATACTAATGATATTGTTTGATTGTTTCCACCCTCTATTGAATCACTTTCTTGGGAATGGAAACAAATATGGATCTCTTAATGTCAGTTGACCAGGCAACTCTCTCCAAATTTCCTAACATAGACTTATCCATAGATTGTCTAGGACTACCTTGGCCATTTGAACAGATCCCTTGATTTCTTACTGATTCCAATGACTTTACTTTTTGCCAATGCCTTCACTGTAGCTTAAACTTGTTCATTGATTAACATTAGCTCTTCATCATATTTTTCTTCCTTAAATATTTCAGTGTTGGCCAATTCTTCTTTGGTACAATGATTCTGTGTATTCTGTCCATGGCATTCACAATACTCCCCAAAGAATCTCTAAATACTGAAATTCACTGCTCAAATTTGTTTTTCAGATATTTCAGCTTAAAAATTTCGAGTGAGTTCTCTTTTTATTCTTTAATTCTATCTCTCTGCACATTCCATGGCTACACTTTGTTTTCCTTTGACATCTTCTATTCAGCACCTCTTACCTTTGTTTTGAATTTCTGATGCTCTAGTGCTAGTATCAACTTCTCTTTGACATCCATGTTGGCTTTTGTTCTTTCTGCTCTTCCTTCATAATCTTCGTGAATATTCTTGATGTCATCCACAACTCAACTAGTCTTTGATTACTGTTGTCCAATGCTTCAAACCTATTCCTAAGATGATTCTACCTCAACTAGAAGACTTCAGCCCTCACCAAGGATTCCATCTTGTCCTGCTATCACGGGCATCAGATGGTCCCTTCACCATTGTTGGAGAAGGGCTCATTTGTTGTATGAGCTGACACATCTAGACACACGAAGGCAGTTCAGGAGCACAAGCTCAGAGATGAGGATCTTCCTCCATAACTTCCACACAGAAAGGATTCCTCAGATTCTGGCTTGGGGCCTCTAAATCTGAGATTTATCTGTTGGTTTGTTGTACTAAGAGAATGCTCTGTTGTTTTAATATACACAAAAATGACAAGAAAGCAAATGACATCCTTCTTCAAGCTACACTCTCTTTCGCACTCTTCTGTAGTCCAAGTCCCTCAAAAACCACAAGGGAATGTATTTTTTGCCTTTGAAAATGTACAGATGTTTTTGTTTTGATTTACTAGAATAACAAAAGATAGTATGACAATTTTTTTAATATATTCAATATCCATTCTCTTTCATTAACAATAATAACTCAACTTTTAACTGGATCTGCAGCCCTTTTAATTAGAGATTACATTTCTCTGCTCTACTTTCAAGCATTTCTTAAGCTCACGGAACTGAAGAAAAATTCAAGCCTCAAGATGCAATACTGAAGGATGCTGCTCTGGGCAGAATATTAAATGATCCAGGAAGTAGTAAAAGAAAATGGAAAGAGTCTCAAAAGTCATTGGACCAAAAGAAATTGACAGAAGAATTTCACGAAACAATGTATGAGCAAGAGCCTGTGGTGATGAATGAGGAAGTTCAAGATGCTCTGAAAGAATTGGCAAAAAAACAAAGCCCCAAGAATTGACGGTATACCAATCGATATATTTCAACGAAGAGATGCTGCCGTAGATGAGCTCATTAAGTTGTGCCAAGAAATCTGGAGGACAACCACCTGGCCAGCTGACTGGAAAGGATCTGTATTTGCTCCCTTTCCAAAGAAAGGTGCTCTGACAGAGTATGGAAATTATCGAACAATACCTAGCTTTGGATTAAAAGTTGTGTGCTGTCGAGTCAACCAATATTTATAGCAAACCCACCAACAACAGACTGAATCCTTGCTCTATAGTACACCATCTTCACGATTTCATAACAGCTCGAGCCCGCTGTTGAAGTCACTATGTCAATCCATCCCATTGAATTTCCCTCTATTTCAATGACCCTCCACTTTTCCAAGCACAATATCTTTTCCAAGAACTAGCACTTGCCGACAACATACCTAAGTATGTGAGATAGTGTTGAAATAAGCCATCTTATTGAAGGAACTTGGTGCCCTAATGAGTTCATAGAGGAAAGCCATCATGCCACATATGAGCCAAAAGCCTTTCGGTGTCTATCTTGTGGAAACCACTGAAGTAATTTTCTCCCCCTTAAACTCTGAAAAAAACTCAATCTTATTACTAGGAAAGTATGTTTTCAGGAGGTAAATCAGGAAGTGTGCTCTGAGGAGTGAGTTTGTAGGCAAATGGAGATCATTTAAGAGAGATAAGAGGCATAGAAGGAGGACATAAGGGTTAAAGTACCAGATGCTACTGCTGATTAGTACTTTTAGACTGACTGTGATTCATGTTGACCCCACAAATAGAATAAAACGGAATTGTTACTATGTCACATGGAAATGTAGATTTTTACTCTGTCACAAGAAAATGTAGGAGTTTCTTCCCCATGGAATTTATTCAATTTCCCTTGCTCCCTCTCGCACACATAGCCAGCCACCCATACACATTATTTTAAGGTTTTACAATTTTATGTGAAAAACTTCATTGATAGGAAAAGTGTATCTTGGCATGCCCTTAATAGCCATATTTTTCATATTACAAATGAATTAATGCTGTTACTAATGATTTCATAAGCTTGAGAAATAAGCCCCCACTTAACCTGCAAAGTCATTTTTGTTGCTATATAATTTATTCCTGAATCCTTCAACATAATAGTTATTATTTTATTATGTAATTAAATGTTAAAGCATTTTTACAAGTTGATGGTGTTAATCAGATCTTACAAATGAAAAAGCTGACGCACAGGCTTTAAAGTAGTTCTCAGTATACCATAAGTTATTATTTAAAGAAAGACACAGCTCAAGATTCCTAGAGTGCTGCTCAAAATCCTAAATACAATATAATTCTATTATACAAGGCTACATTGGACACTATCTAGAATTCAGTCAAGCATACATTTCTAGAGAGAAAAACAACTAGAAATTTGTTGTAACACATCTAGAAGGAGATGATATTTTAAAACTTGACATTTACATCAATAGTGTTTTTCAAAATTTATTCATAGTTTAATACAGAAGGTCAAAATACATTAAATATTTAGAAAATATTTTCATTTAAATGTTTACAGATAGAATAATTTATATGTTTTGTATTTTAATTACAGGTCAATTAAAAGAAACATGAAATATAGTCTATAATTTTAAATGAATTTTCAAATATTTATTTTAGCACAGTGTACTGCTATTTAATTACCCCATCAGAATTATTATATATATTTCTAATTTTAGTGCATTTAAAATAGTTGAAATACATATTTAATCAGTTCATCTAATAGTATTTCCCCAACACACTTAATTTGTGATTATATATATATTCATGAACAGTTTGTTGTTAGGTGTCATTGAGTTGAGTCTGATTCATAGCTACCCTAGAACAACACCTCTGAACCCTGTCCTATGCTGTTCCATCCTCATCATCTGACACCCTGGAACCCATTGCAGTAGTTACTATGTCAATGCATCTGACTGAGGGTATTGTTATATTTTACATAAATAAAATCAACACCATAAATTAAGGGATTCTAGGGGATAATGAAGAAAATTAAATACCTAAAATTTGATCTTGACTGATGAAAGCCATGTACATGAGTGCTTCTCTGATTATGTATGTATGCTATCCTATTTTTTGCCAAAAATGTGTCATGTGCACATGCATATACTATGAACAACACTCAGAAAAACTATATGTGAGGATGGTACAGTTTGAAATAAAAAGCATAATGCACATGTTATTTGTATTAAAAAAACTTCTATTGTTGTTACAAATAGAAATTAGTTTAGGTAATAAAGAACTGTCCAAAATAAGTGAAGAGCCCTGATGGAGTAAGTGATGTTTGAGTTGCACTGCTCACTTAAATTAAGGTCAGCAGTTCAAATCCATTTACTATTCAGAAGGAGAAATATAGGCAATCTCCTAAAACGCTTGTTGTTAGTGTTCTTTTAGTACCATCAACTCAGAACCTATCTGTTGCTGACCCTCAGGCAGGTT